GAACCCCTTCCAGTCTCTTTGTTGTGGGGAGACCAAACTCTCCAGTGGAAGAATTCCAAGGAAAATCATGGAGTTTCCATTCCACTATTCAGGAATAACCTTCATCAATGAGAAAGGTCCAAACCTTAATTGCAAATGGTCCAAAGTTGCAGACATCACACCACCCAGTTCTACACACTGAAAGAAGTCACAACCTTGGGTTCTGAATCAGTTTCACTTCCAGGTTAAATTTCCAGCATGTGTATCTCTCTGAAAAACACCACTCTTTACTCCAAATTTAAAGATGCCTTCCCTCTTGACCAACTGAAGTTCTCTACTTGGCTGATGTGATTTTTCAATTGACTTTTTGCAGTGAATTTCCATTGACCAGGTTGTTATGTCCTTTACGACACATGCCTGACCTTGAATTAAATAAATACAAGCTGCTTTTCCAGGATGCACATTCTTCACACTTTCAAATTACTTTTCAGTTAATTCTATTACACGGTCAATGAACAGAGATGTTGAATGCAATTTTTTGTTTTTGTTTTAATGGACTTCAGAACTGGTCCTCCAGAGGATACAATAATTCTACAACCCTGCAAAGCAATAACACGGGGGTCCAGAATGAAAAAAAAAAAAGTATCTTTCTTCTGAACATGCTAGAAAGGGCTAATTATGTCATCAGGGTACGGTACGACTTGTGCTGAAATCACCAGCGACGGCTATTAATGTGAAGTAACTGTTGCACACAGAGCACTGTAGGGTTTCCCTCCCCCAAATATATTAGCCTTCACTTTTTTGTACTCATTAAAAATGAAAAATGTCTGGCCCGATGTCATAACACCACAGAGAGTTGTGTTGTGTTTTGTTTCCTTCTAAACTCCGCATTGTGTGCTTACTGTAGGCAAATTTCAGGGCCAGATTCTGCAGGGATTCTATGCAGGTGCACAATATGAGGGAGAGTGTAAAGACCTTCCCCACGCATTGCTTGTTTCAGATAATGACCAGGGGAGCACAAGGACGGCTCTTTCCTAACTCAGTGGTGCTCCGGCCCACGGTTCCCCAACATGCACCAGCTTGTGAAATTCACCAGTGTGAATAAATCACACCCCTCGAGCAACGTAAGTTACACTGACATAAGAACTAGTGTGAACAGCGCTATGTTGGCAGGAGAGCTTCTCTCACTGACATAGCTACTGCCACTTGTGGAGGCTGGAGTAATTAAACTGACGGAAGAGCTCTCTCCCGTTGGCTTAGCGCGCCTACATTAGAGAGCTTACAGTAGTGGTACAGCTGCACTGCAATAAACTTCTTGGGTAACCATTCCCTCAGGCAGCAGTGCTGGATCCTCCTACTGCTTATTTTAAATGTTGGCACGCTTAGTATTTCTGATTAGTGATATGTCATCCTGCACAGCCTATCTTGGCATGCCCAGAGGATGTAGGATTTGAGATTTCACAATTATAGGGGTATGGCTACTGTTGAATTTTTAGTTATGTTTCAAATCGAGTCTAGACAGGTGTGACGGGGTGTTCACCCCACACTATCCCAGAGAGGGTTATTGTGGCCCAGGATGGGTTAAGTAACCTGATAGGCCATCCCGAGGGGGAGTTAGCCTTGATGATCAAGCACTGAGTGGGGATGAAGACTAGCTGGGCAGGGGCAGGCAGGGCTGGTATAAGGTCAGGAAGTGAGGGCAGGAGATGGCAGTCACTCTTTGGGCTTAGAGAGGGAAAGGAGAAGACTCGCGGGAGAGTAGAAGCCTGGGATCCTGGGCCTTAAGGAAGGGTTTACTCACAAGTGTGATAGAGCAGAAGCCTGATAGGGCTGGAGTAGGAAAAGTCTCAGGAAAACAACAGTAAAGTTTGGCACGGTGCAGACCTTGGCCGTTGATCCTTGAGCTGGAACTTTAAGCAGTGGAATAGTCCTGTGGGACCTGCTTAAAGTTAGACAAGTGCTTAAGTATCTTGCTGAAATAGGGCTTACTTATGCTGGTGTCAATTCAGAGTCAATCCACTGAAATCAACTGAGCGACTCTGGATTAACACTGGCATAACTGAATTGGCTAATTTGGCTAATTATTAGAATTTGGCTAATTATTATTATCTTTTAGACAATAATGTCACCACTCACTGATGTACATACTGTATGTGTTTAGAGTCCATACAAATATTTATTATTTACCTATGAGGTCAGCTGAAAAGTTTGTAGTTTAAAATAGATGATTTTTCTGTGCTTTTACTGCTTGGTATAAATCTGCAGGCTAAATACCCAACACTGGAGCTCTTAGTCCCGTGAATAGAGGCTACAGGCCTGGGCCATATTGTCCAAGAAGCCCCAAATCAAGGGAAAGTATGCAAAAAATTATCATCAAAAAGCAAAACTGAAAGTTCATAGGCTCAATTCCTCCATTTTTAAAAATACACTTAAGCACTATAAAAATTACTAGACTGACTTTCTCTCCCTCGCTCTTAAATGTGGTCAAAAATATCAATCACAAGCAAAGATCTTGGATGCCAATTTTCTACCCAGAATGATTATTTTTTTTTACAGCTAAGTTATAAGCCTCTGAAAATAGAAGTTTATGATGAAATCACTGACAGACTCTTGGCTAAAGTGCAGTTGCTGTATATATATCTAATGTCATGAAAGGCAATTACACATCTGTAACATTGCCCTGTTATCTTCATCTGATATATATTCAAACCCTTAATTGAAGTAAATATGATGGCCATCTGTCAAGTGCTAACTGGCAGGGCACCAAAATCTACTAGGTGATTTAATACAGATTTTGTAATCTAAAAAAGCTGTTGAAACATTGCTAAAGCTCTCTGAAGCACAGTGCTAACATTTGGAATGGGTAGTTAAAGTTCACTGCTTTCCTGTCAGAAAGACCATAGAGAACTCTAGAAATGTTTGTTTGCCCCTAGAAAAGGATTCAATACAAAATGCCATGTATGAAGCACTCCAGAATCAGGGGAAATTGGGATTCAATGCAGATTCTGTCTATATAGATATTTATAGTATTCCTGTGATAGTGAAGTACCTAACTACTCCTAAGAGCACCATGACCTAATGAGCGGATAAAGTACCAGAAGGGGACTCAGGTTCTACTCCTCACTCTGCCACTTATATGCTGGGGACCTTGGGCAAGTCAATGTACCTCTGGACCTCAATTTTCCCATCCTTGAAATGGGGACAATTATTAGAACTGAGTGAATAATAAATTTTTCGGTTCTGTAGTTGAACCAAAATAAAAATAAGAAAACAAATTTGTTTTGGTTTGACCCGAAACAGAATTTTTTCACTTTTCTTGCCAAAACGAAAAAGCAAAAATGTTTTGTTTCAGGTTAAATGACTTGTATTGTGCAACCCAAAACAAAATATTTTATTTTCTTTGTGGATTTTTTTATCTTTATTTTAATAAAGTAAGCCTAGCTAAATTTCTAAACAAACCAGTGTTTCAAAATGAAAAGTCACAACATCTTGTTTCAAAAACGTTGAAATGAAATGTTTGGACTTTTTCTGATTTCCCCCCGTTTTTTTGGTCAAAACTATTTGCTAAATTCAACCCAAAATCATGAATAGTTTTGGTCAATCCAAGACTGTATTTTTTGGTGAATAAACTATTAGTCTAAAAATTTTTGCTCAGTTCTAATAATGGTACTGACTTCTCTATGTAAAACTCTGAGATCTATTGATGAAAAGCATTACGTAAGAGCCAGGTGTTATTATCTGATGCAATAATATCTGATAAACTGATTACAAGTTGTCTGTGTTTGTATGAGGGACGAGGCCAAAACCTTGCATCCAAACTCCACTGAACTCTGGGGAGATTCTTCTCCAGATCCATTTCAATATCAAAAATTTGTAGGCAAGATCCATTTCTAGTCAAGTAGCTTAGGTCAAAGTGTTCAACTTGAGTACTTAAAATTAGCCTCCTAAATCTATACCTAGACATGTAAATAAAAGTGGCTCGATTTGTAAGTGCACTCAGCAGCCTCAACCCAAGTGACTTCATTGAGAGTGGGATGGAGTCCTAAAAAGCCATTTGTAATGGCTTGAGATGACACTATTTCATAGCAAAATGATAAGCAAATAGTCCTTCCTTAGTCTTCCTTCTTAAAGGTGTTGGTAAGGGAGATGTTCTTTTTCCTGGAAGAGGAATTCTCTTCTCTTGTTCTAAAATGTCAGGCTATATTCAGTCTAGACAAGCCTGACAAGTATCCAGCTGCGGGTACACCAAACAATGTTTCTTTGTTCTTTTTTCCAAAGGCAGGTGAAATAATTTCTGAATTACGCAGCTTGCTTGCATTGTATTAAATAAAACTCACTTAATCCGCATGAAAGGGAAATGGGAATCCCCGCTGCAAATGCTGTACAAAGACAAGCCCCTTTTTGAAAATTAATGAACATTAAATATTTGTATTGTCAACTGAAGATCTATTGTCTGGAAATTGGTTGTCATGTTTTTTCGTGGGTGGAGTGAGAGTGGAGAAAGGATTTCAAATAAATATTGAGATTAGTAACCATGCATAGCAAGGATGAAATGTTAAGAGTTAAGATGCCTATGTTTGCTATCATAGTTCGTCTCTGATTACAGTGGTATGCTAAATTTGGTCTCTGTTTGTTTGTCAGGCAAAAGCAGCATTATTAAATGGCTGCAGAGACACAAGGGAATTGTTCTTATCCCATCACAGGGTTTGCTTTGATAAATTCCAGCCTATTAGCTGCAAACACTTTCCTTGGGTCAGGATCATTGCAGAACTTCACAAATAATTTGTTGTTGTTGGCTTTCTTCTTTCATAAACCTGGAAGGAGGAGGATGCAAGTCTGGCTCTCAGAAACAGAAGAAATGATGAACTGACACATCTAAGTGCAATACTGGTGGTCTGAAGTCTGACATGCTGCATCAACCACCACAGAAGATTCAAGGCCTATTCAGTGTGTGTGGTTAGAAGCAAAAGTTCCCACCCAAACAACCCAGAGTCACTTCACCCCAGAGAAGAGGTACTCACATGCAATGCGAACATAGGCCTTTCGACTCTTAGTAGTGCCGGCAGAGCTCCAAGCGACACACTGGCACCAGTAATCTTCAGGTCCAAAGAGTTCTTCCACCTGCTGACGGGAAATCTCAATGCTCACTTCCCGAACAATCAAACCTGTCAGGATACAATTAATATCCCGAGTGTATTAGAGTTGGTGAAGCTATTGTTCAGAGTAATATATTAGAGAGAGTGCGCATGCGAGTGTGCTTGTTAAACTCTTCTGAGCCCTGGCTGATAATCTACTCAACAGCCCTTATCATGAGGAGACTGTTAAGAAAAACAACAACATTTTACTCACCCAACAACATTATAGGTGAGTGAACAAGTGAATATTTTGCAAGACTCATTTATATCATGTATACGTGCACACACACACACACATTATACATCTAAACATCGGGCAGATTCTCAGCTAGTGTAAGCCAGAGTAGCTCCATTGCTGGCACAGTACAATTTTAATACGAAACATGCTTCCCATCTCACACTATCGGGAGCTGTGTAAAAATACAAGTCTCCTCCTTTAAAAAACTATATCATCCTGTTTTGGAATGCTGATGGAGCAACTCTTGTTCACTCAAACACTAAATTGTGCACAGCACCGTGGCTTCACCCCTCATAAAAATATAAAAGTTGTCTACACTGATGGTCTCAAACCCTGCAGTTTAATAATTGTAAGCAGTATTGTTTTGAACAATACTGTCCAGAACAAGGGTCTACTCTGCACTACAGTATTGCACACCACTGTGCTCTGCATTGCCCCCTAATGTCTTCCCCCATATACTCTAATAATGCATTTTAATGCAATCCTCAAAAATCTGCAATGAAAACAACAGTGATGATAATGCTGTCACTGCCATTACAAACCTAGCATTTACCCAGTTACCACACAGTGCTATCTGATGTGAAACATTTTTTCCTATTCTAAGTACAAGGAAATATTGTGGTATCTGAGATACCACTGCAAAACCTGTTGGTAAGATGCTGACTTTTTAACACCAATTGACATACTCCGTGTTTTGCGTGATCCCACCCTTACAATTCACCAACCCTGTGAAAATGTTCTTCACTTCAGTTTTAAAATGGCAGCCAAGGTGTGTGTGTGTGTGGGGGGGGGAGGGAAATCTATGCACCACTTTTTAACATATTTGCACTGTGTTGCTGATGCCAAAGTCTCAATAAACTTGTAGAGTGTGTCCATCCATAAAAAATAAAATCATCACCATTTCTAAAACGTAGTCCAACAAAGGACCTTAAGTATATAAACCTCACATACAAATATTTTGTATAGCGTGACTGATTCTCTTTTTCCTTACTGTAATGCCAGGAAATTTAATTAAAAGATACTTGATCTTAGTCTGCATAGTTTGTCCCCATCACTGAATAACTAACACAGGGGTTATGAGTCTTTCTGCTGAACACAGACTTTCAGGCCAGCTACTCCCAGCCTCTTACAACATGAATTACAAGGTGATATTCATAACATGAATGTTCCCAATTGTACAGCACAGAGCGCACTGCATGCTCTGGAAGCCAAGCAAACCCTTGATTTTGCCTCCAGCCTCATAGAGGCTCCATTCAGGAAGCTGATGATTAATTAATATTTCTGCACAGTTGTATACTGTCATTTATGCTGCACACTCTTTCCATCCAAAACTCAGTTAACAACGTAACATCATAAAAAACAACAACAGGAATTGAAGCATGCAATATCATACAGAGTTTTGGTAGGAACTCTTTATAATTAGATGCATTTTCCTGCTAGGTATTATATAGCCTACCATCTTTTTAATTTCCTTATCTTTGACATGTTTGCCCAGGAAATTATAAGCTATTTTGAGGAAAATACATACTAGCTTTTCTCCTGGAAACTAAACACTCAAAATTTGGTTGCTGTACTTCGATGAAGTCAAAACAAAATACGGCATATATATTTGGAAATGTGGCAAACACCACCTTCTAAAACTGCTTTGCTTGGAAGAGCTCAATGGGCTCCAAAAGTGGTCCAGGGCTGTTCATCGTCCTATCTATAAGGGGAAAATAGCTTATATATACAGGATGTGCTCAAAAGGGGTTATGTTTTCACAGTGCAACTGCTGCTAGTCTAAAGATCTCACTTCAGTACATTCCCACTTTTTATAGCCTCAAGAGCCTAGCAGTTTGAATGTTACAATATTATGTTTTTACAACGAGGCTGATTATAATGGAATTTGATGGAGCAGAGAGTTAGGTTACTATAGGGCTAAAGCAAGTAGTCTTATAATGAAAGGGGAGTACTGGTTAATAATGATTACAAAATGGACTTAAAATTCTGGATGCAAATCCAGTTTTCTGATATGTTGAAGATATGAAATATACATCATGTCAATAACATCCATTAAATATACTGGCATAACTTTTATCTCTTGGTTCTTAATACATTCTCCATTTAATAGCAACAAGCTCGTCTAGGCACTGCTTTTCTAGGACATAACAAACGCTCACAGGTTTCAGGTTGTTTAAAGTCTTTTGATCTCACAAACTGTGTGGTAGCCATCTAGAAGCACATTTTCCGTTTGTGCTTAAAAGGATGTGATCATAAATACAGTATCACCATATGATTACATCTGTCTCTAAGCCAGGGGTTCTCAAACTGGGGGTCGGGACCCCTCAGAGTGTTGCGAGGTTATTACATGGGTGAGGGGGTCGCAAGCTATCAGCCTCCACCCCAAACCCCGCTTTGCCTCCAGCATTTATAATGGTGTTAAATATATAAAAAAGTGTTTTTAATGTGTAAGGGGGGTCGCACTCAGAGGCTTTCTGTGTGAAAGGGGTGACCAGTACAAAAGTCTGAGAACCCCTGCTCTAAGCTAAACATTTTTTCTAGCATATATAGAAGATCAAATCAGTTGCTGAGACGTTACCTGGGACGATATGCTATATGTATAGGTAGTGAATGTAGAAATTTATGGGCCAGATTCTGACACCCTTAATTTTACTAAGTAGCACCTTACTCCATTAGGAACCACACTGATTATTTATGGAGTAAGGTACTAGTCTGTGTGAGTAAGCACTGGGGCTGACTGGCAGCAGGAGGCCCCAGCCACTGGGGCTGACAGCAATTTCTGAGTAAAATTATTAAGCCTGACTCATGATCTCGGGCGAGAACACTTTTGAGTGTTCTATACCGAGATCATGAGTCAGGCTTCATTTTACTTTGAAATCGCATCTCTCGCGATTAATTCACAGAGTTGGCATGTCTGGCAGAAGGTGACCCTGCGCGATTCCTCCTGAACTTTCACACATTGTAAGGGTCTGATTCTGCTGGCCTTACTCATGCTCAGTAGTGCCTCATTTCACAAGGAGTCCCAGTGATTGAAAAGGAACTTCTTACCTAGTAAAGTACCACTCGACCTAAGAAAAGGTGGCAGAATCTGGCTGTAAGGTCATACAACTAGGAATGGGGTAATTTTCCTCTGTGTTGTAACAGGTCAGAATCCTATTGGTGTCACTTAAAAAATAATCCTTACCATGGTCACACTTCCTAATTGTGTTAGGAAACATTTAATTTGAGGTATCTCAGACAGCAGCTGACCTATTATCATGCTGAAATGATGCTGTATAGGTCCCACAGAAGACCTGATACAGTTTCTCTACATTCATCCAGTACTGTACTGCTTAAAAACCTCACAGGAGAATAATAATAGCATGATAACCTTGAGAGGAGGACTTCTAAGCGAGATCCTGATCTTACCACTATTGGAAGTGCTTCTACTATTCAATCACAGGAAATAGGTTGAATTCATTTTGTAATGTTCCTCAGGAGCCACCTTTTGCATTACAAATGTTGTTCTAAGGACTCAGTTGATTTGCAATGTAACTTTTAAGGTAGGTCAAAACGTGGGTGTTAAATCCTGACAACATCCCATTAAACACTGTATGAGACCAAGAGACTGACAGTAACAGTAGAATAAACTAATTTCCTCTACATCCCCCACTGCTTTTTTAGTCCTTTGTTTTTTACAGAACTACACATATCCTGGTTTAAATGTAACCCAGCCTTTATACTCACACTGGGCCAACTTCTGCACTGATTTACACCTCATACAACCTCACTAATTGCATGGGATGTAAGTCAACGTAGAATTTGCTCCACACCACACATGCTTTATAGCCCAGGTTTTTTTAGATGGCTTCTATATTTGCTCTCACAGAATCTGAGTGTGCCTGTTTGGACATTCAGTTCTATGTCTACCTGCCTGACTATATACGGATGCACATACTCGTGAGCACAAAATTAGAAGCCATTTTTAAACACTTACCCCTGTGTGTCTACCACACATGCACCACACACAAAGGAGGATTCAATAGCTCGGACGACTGGTAGTTGCTTATGGAGCACTTAACCTCTAGGACACCAATTCAAATCCACCCCGTATCAGTAATAACTGAAACACGTTACCATCCCACAGATGTTTCATTTCTACTGTGAAATGAGTTGATAGTTTCAGTCAAGTTCCCAGCATACAGGTATCCACAACACAAAATAAAGCCCCATTCACAACTGCATACCTGCCGATAGCCTGACAAAACTCCAGTAAATTGCAAATTTGCATAAATTAATATATTTGCATAAATTCAAACATGAACCACCAGAAGCAGATGCCTTCCTATTTTATAGTTATGTAATAACAAACCCAATTGTAGGGAGATAATTGAATGCATTTGTGGGCAGCTAGAATGTTTGATAGGTTCCATATACTGTATGTAAATTCAATAAATAAAGATACCATCTTTATTAAAAGCTTCCCTGCTGTGGTTCCAGTATAGCTCCTACTCTCTTTCATGGAAATAAATAGTAAGAAGATGATTGGTGGGGAGGGGGAATTTTTGCTTGTACTATCTCCTAGTTTGAGGTTTATCCCTTGGCCTGCATGCTCACCTAGGAACATAAGGGGAATATACACTTCTACCCCTGTGCAGGCTACCCAGACCTTGGACGCAGCCATCCACGAATGAGTGGGTGTTGTGACCCATTACCACCCCCCCCACACACTTGCACCAGGGTGGTGGTGGTGTGGAGCCTTAAAGTGAGAAGTCAAAGTAGAAAGTCAAGCCATTTGAATCAGTTTTGCATA